GGCCCTGTCCTCAAGCAGCACCTCTTGGAGCCTGCCAGGGGAGCGGGTGGAGTCCATTCAAACCCAGCTGATGCCCCCAGCTTTCATCCCTAGCCCAGCGAGTTGGCCTCAGCGAAGCTGTCCTGTGGCAACTACTGCAGGGTGGCTTTGGAGCTGCCCAGAAGCAGCTCCTCAGGGGGGCAGGGGAGGGGGACCCTAAGGCCCAGGGCATACTTTGCTTAACCCTGGCTTGCTCTGGTGGAGGGGCCCTCTGAAGGCTGCCTGGCCCCTGGCAGGAAACCCCCCTCTGCTACCATCTCTAGAGCTGTGCATACCAGCTCCACGTGCACACGCAGGTGCCGGGGCAGGAAACCTCCACTGCTGCTGCCAGCCCTTTCAGAGTCCTGCTCCCACTGGCCTCTGGCTGTGCCCACTGGGGCAGCTGCACCAACACAGCCCGCATGTCCCACCACTCAGGGGGCAGGAAAGAGCTGGGCAAGCCAAGGGGATCTGGAGTCAATGTCACACACTATACTATTATATACAAACATACACATTTACACGTATCTATTAATGCCTTTAGTAAATTTTACTTGAAAAATTTGTGTTGTAAATTTGTATCAAACCAGTTGAGAAACCCATCCAGGGATAGTGACAGATTTTCTTTATGCTGAGTTGAACCGCTTCCTCGTGTCCATCTGGATATGCCTCCTGGGAGAGGAAGCAAAACAGACCCTCCAGCACATGTCTTTTCTTCCCAGGTCCTCACAGCTCCCTGATCACTAACATCAGGGGCCCCCATCTGGCTGAGCCCCAGGACATGTGTGCTTGTCACAAACATTCAGGTCTCTCCCAGATCCAGCAGCTCAGAGTGATGAACAGGGAACCAGGAATCACTTCCTCAACACACCCTACAGGTGAGGCTGATGCACAGGACTCTGGTCTCGTTCTTCTGCTAAAGGTGTGGTCAGCACCAATGTTGTTATACACAGACTCTCAGACTCTGTTCTAGATGTTGTGAGTCTTCATGAGTGTCCCAGTGACTCCTGTGCTCCCTGAAGCGGGAGCTCCCTGGTCTCCCTGCCTTTTCCACATGGTGTCAGGATATACAGTTGGCTCTTGGGGGTGGTCTTAACACAGGGGTTTCAGGGTTCAGTCTGCTTTCTCTTCCTTAGTCATCACTCCCTGGGTGACGAGTCCACGCTCAAGACTTCAAGTATCATATGCATCACATCACCTCCCAGATCTATTTCTCAGTTCACATATTGCACCTGTGCTCTTGGCTTACCTATCTGCTGCAGACAGACAATGAATGAGATGTTCTCAGCTATTAACAAAGACTCAGAGTCTAAATGAATTTGCAGCAGTGGGAGACTGCGGAGAGTGCCATTAACAGCAACACTGCCTCTCATTCGCCCAGCAGCAGCTTTATTAAAGATATGAACAAAGGGACAAGAAACCAGCATGCAGGGCCTCCCTGGTGGCACAAGGTGCTAAGTCTCAGCACTATGAATCTACTGGCAGCCACTGAGGCCTCAGTTCAATCTCTGGCCAAGGAGCAACCCACATGGTGTAGCAGACCTCTCCTGTCTCACCTGCTGCTCCCCTCCGCAGTATATTTCAGTCAGTCTGCCTGTTCTGCTCTCCGTTCTCTTTCTAGTGAATCTTCTCACTCCCCGTGCCTCTGGCCTACTCTCCAGCTCTTGTATGCATAAATAAAATAAATCTTTTTTAAAAAAGAAAATAACATGCAATTTTGTTTATGCTTATACAAATTAATAAGTTACGGCTGGAACAAACTTTTCTAGTTAGTAGGGATCATGCACACAAGCCAGCACGTCCTCAGAGAACAGGAATCAATTCTGGGAAGTTCTGTTTGCAGCACTTCTAACCTCCTGGAACTCCGTGTGCAGAGTGAACAGGTGCTCTCAGAGAGCTCCGCCTCCCTTGAGGGCAGCAGGCTGCCAACATCTGTCCAACTGCCACCATCGCTGTATTTCCAATAACTCCCAGCTTCAGCTCTCCTATTGAACACCTCGGGTGCCAGTTCCACAAATGTGCTACTTCTGAAGCCTGCCCGTGTCACTGCAGGCTCCACATCTCTACTTCACAGTCTGAGATGTGGGTGGCATCTGACCCCTCTTTCTCACAACCCAGATGTTACAATAAGAAATGCTGTAAAGTCCATCTCTAAATATATCCAGATCCAAACACTTCCTATTATTTTCCTGATCACACCCCATAAAGCTACCAAATTTTCTATCCTGGAATCTGTGCTAGTTTCCTGCATTTATCTTCACACCTCTCACCTTCACCTCTTGATTCTGCACAGCAGCCAGACAGAGGCGTCTAAAGAGAAGTTGCACCATGTCACTCTGTGTCCAGAAAGGTCTGTTGATAACACATCTTACTCAGAGAAAACATTATGAATTCCAAACCAATCTTCAAGCCCAAATATTTGGCAATCATTTCCTTTTATAGAAAACTACAGGTTTTTCACTTTGAAACATAGCAAAAGCGCAGTGTGTCAGTTTATTTAAAATCCAGCAACCAAGTACCCTACAAGGCAATCAGTTTCCCTCTCTAAATACATTTAGTCACATAATTTTATGCTTATTGCATAAAAGTTTTAAATAAAAGCCATCAAAATATTTAAATAATCTCACATCTGGATTGAATCATGGTAGTATGGATATATTTTAGAAATTCCAGATTATTTATTGATTAGTAACATGTAATATTTGACAATGTCCCCGGAGAAGCAGCTTCCATGTGTAGGGAGATGACAGTGTCATCACATCTGCTAGGAAGTGGGTCATTTGCATATTTACTGCTAGATTCTATCAGACCTGCCGTCACACTGAGGCTTCCCGTGAATAAAGTACTACAAGTGGTCATTGCTGGACCAGCACAGAAGACGGAGCTCACTCCTGACACCAGGCCCCATCTGTCACTGTGTTTGTATTTCCTTGTTATTGTGCTGAGCCTTGGATTATTAAACACAAGTTTTTCTTAGTGAATGTGGTGTGTTAAAGCAAAAGGATATATAACCTGTTCCCTCAATCATTTACTTTCTCTCCATCTTTTGAAAAATTATTGATCAGACAATGTAAGTTACAGGTTCACTGGCTGGAAAGACACAGTCACCTCTTAGGTCACCCATTGTTTACGCAGGAGATTGGTGTCTCTTGGTCTCTCAGCATGACCATCCCTCAGCAGGGCCCTCAATGCGGAGTTTCAAATGCTACCATTGCTGTATCTCCTGCTGGATGTAGATTAATTTCCCTTATTAAAAATACTTAATAATTGTGCAATAATCTGCTCAGGTTTTGTCACCTCTCCATGGAATAACTTTTCATTTTTACCCTTTCCTGCTGGCTGCTGTGCTTTTGTCACCTTCTTCACAAAACTGTGGTCCTTTTGGTTAAAAGGAGGAAGAATTTTTTATTTGAGCCTCCAATTCTATCCTGCAATGTAAAATACTGTCCACAATTGTAGTCAAAGAAGAAGTGAAGGTGTGTATGGTGAGCTGAGCCATTAATAAAATGGCCTTAAGATTTGAAGATACGAAAATCACCATCATGAATGGAAACTGTCCAGACATTGACCAAGATGCACAACATAAATAACCAGCTTGTGGACTGTATACTAATAATGAGTTGAATCCAGCCATTTGGAAACTCTCGTATGTTGTCATATAATTTGCTGTATCCTCTCAGCTCAAGCAGGCACAGTGAGATGGTGGGAATACTTAATCCATGGTAGTGAGGTAACAGTAAATAATTTCTTGATTCTTCAAAAATTGTGGGTGTTGGGCCTCTCTGGTGGCCTAGGGGTTAAGTCTCAGCACTACCACTGAGAAGACCCACTACAACATCCTGAGAGCTACCCCACATGGCCCAGCAGACCTCTCCTATCTCACCTGTTATTCTCCTTAGCAGTGTATTTCAGTATATCCACCTGTTTTGCTCCACACTCTGTCTCTGGTGAATCCTCTCACGCCCCCCTGCCCCTCACACCCGGCCTTCACCCCAATTCTTCTACACAAAAATTAAAAAAAAAAAACTTTAAAAAAATTGTGGTATTTCATTAGGGAATTATAGATAAATAATAATTCAGTGTTGCAAAGAGAAAATAAAGGATGAAAGCATCAAGATTTGTTACTATCAGGAGAATAACAGTTTGTCAGAAGATGTCACCTTTTGGCCATGTGGTGGATATATAAGTGGTGTAAAAAAGTCATAATCTGCAGCATCAAGTACAAGATCCATCTCAGACCCAGCAAACAGCAGAGGCTGGGGACCCAGTGGTGTGTAGGTGCAACAAGACACAATGGGGACTCAGTCAGCGGGAGTCAGGCTTTGTCATCAAATGAGTCTGATGCCAAACTAGAGAGGGTCAGTTTACCACCCAGCGCTGCCAGGCCAGGAAGCCTGGCCTGGTCTGCAGCCCTGGTCAGCAATAGCGCAGCCTGGCAGGCTTAAGGGTTAGTTTTGAAATTTGGCTTATTTTGGCTCTTCGTCTGCTTTCTCTACATCCATATGTAAGTATTTCTCTTTTTCCTTTTGACTCTTCCATCCATGTTGACGCAGTGGCAAAAGTTATGTTTTTGACCGTGGAATGCTAATTCATCATACAGGGACATATATCACCTGTATATGCGCATATATGTATACATGTAATCCCAGCTTCTACTTGATTTGTCACCTCTTTGGGCATTTAGGTGGTTCCATAGCTTGGCTGTTGTAAATAGTGCTGCAATGGTGATGGGAGTGCAGGTCCCTTCACAGTAATAGTGTATTTATCCTCTGTGAGTAGATCCTCAGTGTAGATTTGCTGGGTCCAATGGCAGAACCACATTTAAGAAACTTCAATACTGTTTCCATAAGGGTTGGCTCGTCTATACCCAAAAACAATGTAGGACTGTCCCTTTTTTTTTCCCATATCCTTGCCAGCACTTGCTTTCTGGTCTTTTGAATATGAACCATTCTCACAGGTGTGAAGTGGTTTAAACAGGGATCATGAAGTCTCAAAAGAAATCTGTAGCATTCAAGCCAACACAAAGCTGTCTCACACTGTGAAAGAAAGAAAATAATCATGAAGAAATTCAGATGAATTATCTGAGTGTTAACACTATCAACAGTCCCTGCATTCTCAAGATGTCCTCCTGAAAGCATCCCCATCACCTAGTGCCAGCCTCTCTGCCTCAACCCCTATGCCCACTGAAGGCCTCCAGGGTGCCACTTTTAGGGGCTGAGATACATTTCAGAGCCTTGGGCACTGCCACTGGGGAGAACACAACAAAATTTGGTCAGAGATGAGACCACAGGAGGGACTGATGAGGGTGACACCCCCATGGGCTCCATCTACACTGTCCCCAGGGCTCAGGGATCCAACCCTTTATCCACACTTACCTGGAGCCTGAGTGTAGCTTCCTCCTTGTCCACCTGTGGGAGAAACATCATGTGAGACCAGGAAGAGTCAAGTAAGAAGTCCTAAAGGTATCTTCTAATCCTGCAGACAGGGAAGTTTCCAGAACTGGGACTAAAGAACCAGGTCAGGACTGGGAATAATGAAGAAAGGAGGTGAGAAAGCACTGGACCAAATGCCCTCTGGGCAACACACATGTGTGGATGGTACTTCTCATTAACCACATAGGGCAAGTTCTCCCTGGGACATGAAAGCCCCCAGTGGACAAGATCCCCCACTCCCTTCCCTACCTGAGCACTTCTTCCTCCATAGCACAGCTGCAACCACCACAGCTCCAGTGAGCACAACTCCGAGAAAGACCAAACCATTAATGATGTCCATGGTGGGGATGGAGGGCTGAGCAGGGGCACTGCAAGGGAAGGAAGGTGAGACTCTAACCTGCAGGCCTCCAACCTGACCCTCTGACACTCTCCAGAAAGGCTCCTGATTCCCTAAGAAAGACTCCATGGCCATGTTCCCCTTCTTACCCCATCTCAGGACCCGGGGCTCCAGCAGCCCCTCATGCTGCACACGGCATGTGTATCTCTGCTTCTCTCCAGAAGGCACCACCACAGCAGCCCACTTCTGAAAGGTTCCAGCCCCCCCAGGCCTGGTCTCCACCAGCTCTGTGTCCTGGGTCAGGTCCTCCCATCTCGCTGCCAGGTCAGAGTGATGGCCGCAGGGTAGAAGCCCAGGCCCAGCACTTCAGGGTGACCTCATGCTCAGTGATGGGGTGAAGAGACACCTGCGCCCTTTGGGGGCCTGAGTGGGAAAAATCAGAAATTTCATGCTTTGTGTTCCCCATGGACACTGAAATACCTCATGTGACCATCCTCCAGTGGACAGACAGTATGTTTGGAGGGAGGAAGCACAAACCCAGAAACCAGCCTGGTTTGGAGTCTGAGATAGTAGGTGAGAGCCCAGGGTGGGATGCAGGTCTCAAAGAATTTTGTTGCTGACTTGGGTGGAGGGTGATGACACAGACAGGCGGGAGTGAGATCTCCAAAAATGTTCTCTGACCAAAAAGATCCTGAGAGAGAAACTCATTGACCCTAAGATGGCTGCCGGTCAAAAGCATCCTGTGAAGGGTGAGTTCGGGGATGGTCTCCCCTCATTCTCAGGAGAAACTGGATTCCTTAACTGTCCTTCAGAAAAAGCAGGAGCCTCCAGCCAGTCTCCATCCAGAGCTGGAACACGTGGCCGACAGCTCCCTCTCTGGCCAGAAGGGGCGCTTTCTCACCATGATTCCATTTCCCTGCGGGGTGTGCGCCTCAGGGAGATCCAAGGCCCCGCAGCCCTCTTACCTCTGAGCTGCAGCGCCTCCTTCCCCATCTGCAGGAGTCTGGGGAGCCACTCCATGCACTTGCTTTCCAGGCTGCTCCTGTCCTGCTCTGCCGACCTTCCTCTCGAGCTGGAGAGCTGAGCCGCCCGGTCCGCCGCGGTCCAGGCGCGCAGGTCCCCGCCCAGGGCGATGTAATCGGTGCCATCTTAGGCCACCGATCGTGCCCGCGGAGGAGGCTCCCGTCGGGCCCCACGTCGCAGCCCAAAGTCCTCTGGATCGTGTGAGACCCTGAGCCGCCCTTCAGTCACCCGTGGTCTCCCGCCCGCACCCGATCCCCCGCCCTGAATAATCCCAAACTTAAATGACACCTAAGGGTGAAAGTCCCGCGGGCTCTTCCCTGGTCAAGGGGCCTGGCAGGGCCACGGCCTCGGGGGTCACGGGGCCCCGAGACTCGGGCGGGGGTGGGGCGGAGCGGTGACGCGCCTGGCCAGCGCTGCTCCCCGGCCCGGCTCTGGCTGCGGCGGCCGCGCGGGGCCTCCAGGAGCGCTTGGAGCCTCCGCGCCGAGTGTCTGCGGAGCCGCGTCTCCTCGTCCTGATCCTCCTGCCCCACCTGCCCCGCCCAGGGCGCCCGCGCTCCGCGCTCTGGCCCAGGGAGTCGCTGTCGAACCGCATGAACTGCGTGTCGTCCACGTAGCCCACCGCGAAGTACCAGGGCTCCCGAGGCCGGGCCGGGACATCGCGGTTTCTAAAAGCCTCAGAGAGTGGGAGCCTGGGGGGGGGGGTGAAGCCGGGCGGACCCTCCTCCGGGGCGGGTCCTGAGTCCCGGGGAGATGGGGCAGGGGAGAAAGTGTCCAGGAAGGAGGGAGCTCCAGAGACTGAACATGGGCAGCGGGTCCAGAAGGGGCAAGACTCAGGGACAAAAGGAGGAGGAAGGTGGGGACAGAAAGGGACCAGGGGCGCCACTGGGGTGACAGAGGGGCCTAAGCAGCAGCTTCCTCTGCAGAAGCCTTTTCCCTCCACCCTGCACTCACCAGCCCGGGTCTCTGTTGGGGCCAGAGGCCTCACAAGCACCAGCAAGAGCAGGATTGGGGCCATCATAACCAGTACTACTGGGGTCTGGGAGCTTCTGACTCCAGGCTGGTGGGTGGAGACTCACCTGGGCAGGCAGTGATGCTGATTGGTTCTCTGGAACCTCCAGGCACTGGGGCTGAGAACTGGGGAGGAGTCACAAGAGTCCAGGGCCCACAGGTGGTGGGACAGAGTGAAGCTAAGGGGGCAGTGGGGTATCCCCAACAGTAACCTTCCTGCCCTAGACACAGCCCTGGGGCTTGGAATTATGAGAACCAGATAGGACCTGGGCTTTGCTCTGCCTCCTCTCCTCTCCCAAAACTTTGCCACACTGTCTCTCTGATTCCAGGCCAAGGACTGGGTCAGCGGTTCTCAGTCATTTTCGTTTCGGATTGGTGGACGCCAAGTATAATCTTGTTTATGAGATATCGCTGCCCATATTTACCACACTCAATTGGAATAAAGCTGTGTTTAATCATATAACTATTTCAGTTAGAATAATAGTAATAATCCAATGCATGTTAATAGAAAGTGTTTTTTTTAAGCCCTGCCTTTACTTTTTTTAAAGATTTATTTATTTATTCATAAAAGCATTAGGTACAGTCAGAACCACGGGAGGGTGAGAGAATTCACCAGAGCCAGAGCGGAGAGCAGAACAGGCAGACTGACGAAGTACACTGCTGAGGGGAGCAGCGGGCAGCAGGAGAGGTCTGCACGCCATGTGGGACCTCCTCCGGTGGCTGGGGAGCAGCCGGGATCGAACCGGCGCTGCAGAGGCTGCAGGCAGTTTCGCAACCCAGCGCTCAACTTCTGTGTCACCGGGGAAGCCAATAAAAAGTGTTCTTAAGAAAAATAACTTCTTTCTGGAAATAATCAGGGCAATGAGAAGAATGGATCTTTTAGTTTTTTATTTTTGCGATTGTCTTTCTTGTCTGTCTCATTAGAAGACAATAGGATTTTCATGTTTCCTTCTGCATTTAGTCTGTGGTTCCGGTTGAGTCGATGAAAAATATATACAGCCTCACACAAATGTGTTGAAGTAGTACTTTCACATTATTGTGAATATTCAAATTTGATTCTAAATTAAAAACTATACAGGTGGTATTTTCTCAAAGGTTATTTGCAAAGTAAACCTGAAACAATATCATTGAATATTTCTTATTCTGTTACATTTCCATAGTCCTCTCTTGCATACTGATGGCGTCTTGTGCTAATGTGTAATGTGCTAATGTGTGATTTTTTTAAGTATTATTGTTCCACTAAGTTATAAAGACCTTCAGTGTTCATTACAGAGGAGTAAAATTTTTTTTTAAGATTTATTTATTTATGCATACAAGAGCTGGGGTACAGACCAGAGATGTAGGGGGCGGTGTGTGAGAGGATTCACCAGAGACCTAGTGGGGAGCAGAACAGGCAGACGGACTGAAATACACTGCTGAGGGGGAGCAGTGGGCCAGCAGGAGAGGTCTGCTTTGCCATGTGGGTTGCTCTCTGGCTTCTGGGATCGAACTCATACTGCAGAGGCTGAGGATTGCTTCATAGTGCAGTGCTTAAACCCTTGCACACCAGGAAGGCACCAGAATCAAATTATTTTTAAAAATTGATTTTATTTTTCACCACAAATCTCAAAAGTAAAAGTAGTAATGGAAATTGTCAAGGTAGTGATAGGACACAATGTTCCGTAATTCTGGTTTTGTCTGAGCACTTTTATTTTGGCAAGGCGAGGTTACTGTCAGTTATCAATTGTCAGTTGAAGGTCAGTTTCATAAAGGCACACATTCATTTTCAGGACAATGTCTGCCAATTAACGAAATCCAAATAGCCATAGTTTTTGTCATTGATCCCTTCGTGTCAGATGGTATTGCCTACAAAAAAAGAGAAACAGTCTAATTCATCTCATGCAAATATTTCCTTGACACATATTCTGTGTGTACTTGCGTGTCATCACAACAGATATTGTAAAATGTGATTTTGAGGATGATAAAATAATGAAGCTAATTTCAATGATTTAACCAAGACATTTTGAAATGAACTGGTTGAGTTGTGTTTATGAGGTAATTAGTGGTGAAGAAAAACTACTATTGCAGTTAGTAATATAAGATCATTTTTACTAAGTTTTACCTCAGCAAGTGTCAAAAGTGAAAAAGCCAACGGTGTCTAAGTGACGTTTTGAAAATAGTTTCACCTAATGGATCCTGTGACAGGTTCTGGGTGACTTCAAGGGCTCCACAGAACACACTCCAAGTGTTCTCTGCCTTTGTCTCCCCTTCATTTCCAGAATACCCCTCCCTAGATGGCTCCCCAACTCCCAAAGCTGCCTCCCCCTGAAGACACAATGAAGAGCAGAGAGAGGCCATGGAGATGTGGAGCTTGCCCTCTCATGAGAGATGGACACTGCGCAAAGATGACAAAGACATGTGTAAACCCGACCTGAGCCCATGCTGGGAGGAGGGAGAGTGTTTATTGTGGAAGCAGACTAGTAGGAGTGCTATCAGGTACCCTTCTATTATTTAAATAATGTCAAAAGATGTAAAAAATACATTAAAAACAGGGCTCCCTGGTAGCATAAGGGTTAAGTCTCAGCGCTATCACTGCCTAGGACTGAGTTTGATCCTTGGCCAGGGAGTAAACCACATGCACAACAGCCCTCTCCTGACTCACCAGCTGCGCCCCTTAGCAGTGTATTTCAGTAGATCCACCAGTTCTGCTCCCCATCATCCCTGGTGAATCTTCTCACCACCATCCCCATCTGTAGCCTATACTCCAGTTCTTCTATGCATAGTAAATAAATAAATCTTTAAAAATATACATTAAAAATAAATAAACCATAAAGGTAGAAGAGTTTATTAATTTATATAATCATAGAATAAGAGACAGTTCTTGAAAATTATAAATTTGTTCACAGAAATGAACAATTCAGCAGATGAACTGGAATATTAAAGTCTCACTCCACTAAGTCATACAAATGGAAACGAAATGACAAGCAGAGAGAAGACCTACAAGAAACTGAGT